CCTAACCTAACCATATGAATCTGCTAGGATCCCTACAGAGGCAAGCTCTGCTTGGGGAATATGCACGTGTATGCACATGCTCATACATGCACATTCATATATACATATATATATATATATGTATATATGTGCGTACACACGCATGTATGTATTTGCATCTGTTGTATATACATATTTTTTTAGATATATCTATACATGTATATATGTGTGTGTGTATGTATGTATGTATGTATGTATGTATGTATGTATATATATATAGCTTGGACGGCAAACCGTGATTTATTGCAATACATGCGGTGCAATCTAGGTGGTGCAATCCATGTGGTGCAATCTGCGTGGTGCAAGGCAAAGGCAATGCAAAGCAAGACAACCCAAGGCAAGACAAACCAATGCAAATTAATCTGAAGCAATGCACATCAATGCAAAGCAATGTAATGATATGCAAAGCGAAGCCATCCAAATCAATCTACATTTAATACCAAACAATGCAGGGCAATGCGAAGCAATGTAAAGCAAACCAAGGCAATGCAACGCAATGCAACGCAACGCTAAGCAATGCAAAGCAATTGAAATCAACGCAAACCAAGGCAAAGCAAAGCAATGCAAGGTAGTGCAAATCAAAGCACAGCAATGCAGCACTCAACTAAATAATGTAAAGCAATGTGCATCAATGCAAATAGATTTGAACCAAGTGAAATCAAAGCAACGCGCAACACAATGCGAGGCAATGCACAGTGATGCAAAATCGATTGCGATGCAAGGCAGTCTACACATGCGGCTACGGCGGCTAAGACCGGCGGCGACTGGCGGCAACGAGCCCGCCAGGCCGGCACCGGGGCTCGGCTACCAGCGGCGACGGCGGCGGCGACGTGCGGCAACGGGCGGCAGTGAGCCGGCTGGACCGGCATGGGAGCTCAGTTCTTGTAGGAGGGGATCGACTACGCGTAAGAGTGACCTTTCGCCGGAGTGGCTTGTTGGCGCGGGCTCATCGGGCTTCCCCCCCGCTCGCCGAGCGCGCTGCGATTTGAGCGGCCCGCGCCCTTGGGTCTGGCTCCCTCGCGCCCCCAGAAGGTGCGCACCAAAGGTCACTCTTACCCAGGGTCACACTCACTCGGAAACTGGAGCATATACATTCCAAGTGGCGGGCGGCTTTCAACCCCTGGACTTTTTTGAGGGTCGGGGACGACGTCCGGGTGGTGTGGTGTATACTAGTTTCCCCGTTTCCTTGTGGAGACAACAAAAAATGTATACACCAGAATGCCGTATACACCCTAATCCGTTCTCTTGTGCGAATCTCAGTGCCGGACCAGAAAAAGCATCGGTGTACAGTGAGCGAGCGGTTTGAATAAGGAACACTTACTTTTCAAAAGGGGCTCGGTCGTTCCTTAGATTTTACATGCGTTATTTACAGTTCCTTATGCGCTATTTGTTATCTATCGTTCCTTCTGTGTTACTCCTTGGGATAAAAAGGGGGCTTCGCTCCTTGTTTATCGTTCCTTAGGTCAAGCCGATGACTGTGTAAAGTTCGGTTCCTGACTTACGCCTAGCCGAGGGAGGTGAGAGCCACTGGGCGCAAGTGCCCCTTTGGGGAACCTATTGCGGAGGCCTCCGGCCAGTGTCTCGCTCGGGGCGGGAGGCTCCGGGAGGCCCCGCGCGCTCTCGGTCCTGCTCACAGCCTGTGAGCTGTACCTCGAGGAGGCAGGGGGGACGACGAGGAGGGAAGAGGAGGAGGAGGAAGAGGCGGAGGAGGAGGAGGAGGAGGAGGAGGAGGAGGAGGAGGAGGAGGAGGAGGAGGAGGAGGAGGGGGAACGTGAAGACGAGTCGCCTCCGGCAGTATGTGTTGAGTGGAATGTTTGCGTCGTGTCCGGCGGTCGGGCTTGTTGGCGGGCTAGTTCCAGGACGGGTTGGCTCGATGGTGGGCCGCTGGGCGGGTCGTGGCGTGAATGTGTCACAGTCTACTGCTCCTTCCCGTCATTTCTCTGTTCTATCAGTTGGGGGCCTTCGGCTCATCCCTTCACCGTGCCTGGGTTGTGGGTCCGAGGCTTTTTGTAGGTTCGTTGGGGTCTCGTGGGGAGCTTCTCGGGGGCTTCTTGGAGGCCTCCGTGGAGCCTCTTGGGGGCCGTTTGGGAGCCTCTGTTGGGCCTTTTGGGAGCTTCTTGGGGGCTTCTTGGGAGCCCCCTGGGGCCTCTCGGGGGCCTTTTGGGGTTTCCTGGGGGCCTCTTGGGGCCCTCATGGGCCATCTTCGGCGGCGCGCCCGGGAGAAAGTGAGAAGGGGCGGGCCTTCTCAGAAGGCTCGGTCTCAGAAGGCGCGAGGGCTTCTGAGAAGTCTCGCCGCCTTCTGAGAAGGCCTTCTCCTTCTCACTTCCTCCCCTGGCTTGCCGCGGACATCTTGGGCGCCTCTTTGGCCGTTTCTGGGCCTTCTTGGGCCGTCTTGGAGCCTTCTTGTGGACCTATGGGGTTGTCTTGGGGCGGTGTTGGGAGCCTCTTGGGCCGTCTTGGAGCGTCGGAAGCTCGAACAGGCGAGAAAATCACAATCATATGAAAAGCCCACGGCAATCAATGCCTTTTTCCTCTTGCGGCCCTCTTGGGGGTCCTCTTGGAGCGCTCTTGGGGGCTCTTGCTTGTGGGCCTCTTGGACCTGGACCGTCTTGGGGCCATCTTTGGCGTGTGGGAGCTCTCTTGGGCCGCCGTGGCGGCGTTGCCGCCCCCCCTTCCTTCCCCCTTTCCTGGCCTAGCCGCCCCCACACCCTCTCTGCTGCGGCGCGGGAGCGGTCCCGAAAACGGTAGAACCCTCCTCCCTCCCCCCCCCTTCCCCAGCAGAGCCCCCCTGGCCCCTCCCCCCCCCGCCGAGCTGAAGCTCCGGCTGTAGTTTGTTGACATTCGCACGCCGGGTCGGCGGATATACACACGCCTTCCTGCGTAGACATGCGCACGACATATCTGTGTGTCTCTCTCTGTCGCCATGTTTGCAATGAAAGCCTGCCTGTCTGTCTGTCTGTCTGTCTGCCTGCCTGCCTGCCTGCCTGCCTGTCTGTCTGTCTGTCTGTCTGTCTGTCTATCTGTCTGTCTGTGTGTCTGTTTGTCTGTCTGTCCGTCCGTCTGACTGTCTGTCTGTCTGCCTGTTCGTCTCTGCGTCGGCCTCTCTCTCTCTCTATCTCTCTCTCTCTCTGGTTGTTGGTGTGTTTTTTGGCCACAGTCAGTGTAGTCTTGAGAGGGCGCGGTGACGCGGGGGCCCTCCTACATTCCAACGAAGCCTTATCTTTCCAAACTAAGCTTTTGTTCAACATCAGCGATTTCACTCTCACAAACGGCCGTCAACGTATCATGCGAAGAGGTCAAGATTTTGAAACAAGTGAGCAGGGCCCTTGATTTGTTTTTTTCGCTCTTGTGCGAATTGAAATCTGACCTAAACCCTCTGTCAGATGTGTGTACTCGTGCCCCTGGCCCCGAGACTGGGCGGTACGTGGAGCCCACGGCCATAGGTCCTGTGGCTCACCTAGCTAGCGTGACGGACTATCTCGAGGGCAGCATCCAGGGTGGAAGCGAGGGCGTCTTCCTGGGCAATGGTGTGGGGGTCTGCCTGCATTTCTCTTCGGGGAACAAGCGATGACATGAACAGAAAATCTCGGAGGTCCGCGCGGAGTTCTCGGATCGGCGCTGGACTCCCCTCCCTGGCGCGCGGAGCGCGCCAGCGGCGGCGCTGGAGGCGCCGCCAGGAAGCCCCAGAGCCGAGCCGAGAAGTCCGTGCGGACCTCCGAAGGTTTACGTCCCTGTTGATCCTGTCGTTCCTTCCGCTGTCATTGTCCCCGTCGTTCTTGTCGTTCCTTTCGCTGTCGTTCTTTCTGTTTGTGTTCCTGTCGTTCCCTGTTGTTCCTGTCGTTCCTTCCTGCCCCATCTCAGTGCCGTTGTCCCAGTCGTTCCTTCCGCTCCTGTCGCCCCCCTCGCTCGCCCCTTCCTTCCTTCGGAGCAAATCATGGGAGCCTTGTGCATCCTCGTGGTTCCGTCTTTGGAGTGCATAAGCGTCGACTAGCATCTGGTAATCGATGAGGTAGTGCTGGTTTAGCGTCGAATAGCATCGATCTAGCGTCGACCTAGCGTCGATGAGCGTCGATTAGCGTCGATTCGCAAGAGCCAACCAGATGTTTTGGGAGGCTCCGATGAGTTGCCAACGAACCTTCCGCTCCCTTCCGCAGGGCACCCGACCACCGCCACCGTTCTTGGCGGCATGGCCGTCGGCCAGGAAGGCGCCTGTGCACCATCCGAAGGCCCAGGATTGTCCTGAGCAGGCTTCGTGCTGGTGGTGGTGTATGGGTGCCTTCTGCGTGTGTGGCGATCGAGGCTCGAGGCTCGAGGCTCGAGGCTCGAGGCTCGAGGACGACGGCGATCGAGGACGACCGAGGACGATCGAGGCCCAGCATGGCCCTCGCCAGGCTTGGTCGTCGTGGCGGTGCATTGATGGGCCCCTTCTCCACTAAAACTACCATTTGTAGGAGAGGGAGGAGGAAGATGAGGATGAGGACGAGGATGAGGATGAGGATGAGGATGAGGATGACGATGACGATGATGATGATGATGATGATGATGATGATGATGATGATGATGATGATGATGATGATGATGATGATGATGATGATGATGATGATGATGCTGATGATGATGATGATGATGATGATGAGGCTGACGTATTATGAATTAATGATGATGATGATGAGGAGGAGGAGGATAGGAGGAAGGAGAGGATATGAGGGGGATGGTGGTGGTGATGATGATATGGTGCTGATGATGCTGATGATGCTTGATGATGAGGATGATGCTGGATCTTGATGCGGATGCTGATGCTGATGCTGATGATGCTGCTGCTGCTGATGACTATGACGATGATGATGATGATGATGATGATGATGATGATGACGATGGCGATGATGATGATGATGATGATGATGATGATGATGATGATGATGATGATGATGATGATGATGATGATGATGATGATGATGATG